TAATGGCAATAATTTCATTGTTCGATCGAGGTAATGCAGTTTTTTCGCCGGCAGATTGCATACTATTTGGTTTAACTTGATTGTAAATAATGTTAAGAAAAGATGCAAATAGATTATCATTTCAAGTGCAGCGGACAACCTCTGATTTGGACTTTTTCTGAAAAGTTACACTGGCACAATGTGCTAAACTGTTTAAAAACTGTTTACTTTATTCTTGTTACAATGGATTGTACTTTTGGGCAGTTCAAAGGACGTAGTTGAACAGAAATGTCAAAAAATCAACCGACTTTTTACTTTATATCTTTGTTAATACACAATGCGATCACATCGTCCGACGCCGCTGTAAGTTCACTCTAAAATTCCGACAGATTTAAATAATTTTATGTGTTTGCTTCCACTTCCATGACGTAATATTTATCGAAGTCTCTGTATTTCCTCTTTATGAATAGACATACGTCTTGATACCGCCTTTGTTGCTTCAAAACATTACTTGATTTACTAAGTGTATTTAAACTGGAATAGCTTTCTATTCATAGTATTGGTCTACGAATTTTTTGCTTTCTGTTTACAATTAATGAGCGACACGGGCATGCGTTTGATGGTGCTAGGCTCTGATAGCTCGTATGGAGGTACGACCAAAACAAATATCGTACAACTCTCAATAAAAGTAGCTGTATAACTCTTCAGATGGGATTGGCTCACGTGAAAAGATATTTAAGACTCACCAGGTCGTCGACAGACGGATAGGAATTGCACGAAACAGGTTCGTGCAATTCCCATCCGTCTGACGACAACCTGGTAAGCCAGTGTCGAAAACCCACACAATAAATCATATTTAACACTTCAAGTTTCCTCAGCTTCTTATACATAAAGGCCCTAAGCATACTCTTCATTCATTGATCTTGTTACTTCTTAAGGTATACCTCATTAAAATTAAAGGTTGGACGCCTTACAAGTTATTAGCAAAGCAACCACTAACACTGAAATGTTCATTTAGGGTAAATCATTCTGTTTGAGTGAAATAATTGGTAAGATATCTCTACCTACTGTCTTCTAGAAAACTCGATTAAACTACCTTTTTAAGTATTAAACAGACGAACGCATTACTGACACCTTAACTCTTTTCAGGTTGCTCACAAGCCCTCAGTAAAGTCGACTGCTGAGAAGCCGCCGTTACTGTCAACGCCACTGTCACCTACACCCCAGGCCGCCATTCCTGGCGTAAATCAGTGGCGACGCGGTAAGCCTAAGGGCAGTGATAACACCTACCTGCCGGCAGGTTACGCTGAGCGAGATGGACCCTACGCCTACGCCAACACCTACGCCAACCT